CATATACTTAAGCATGACCTATGGACCAGTATGTGGTCTATTTTAGAAAATGACCCATGTGCAGCTGAGAAAAATGTGTATTCAGTGTGTTTGGGTGAAACACTCTGTATATGTCCATCAAGTCCATTTGTTTCAAGCTCTGGTTCAGTTCTGTTATTTGTTTGCTAATTTTTTGTCTAGTTGACCTATCTTTTTGGGAAAAGGGAGTGTTAAGGTGTCCTGTTAAGATTGTGCAATTGGATATTAGATTTTTCATGTCCATTAAGATTTGCTTTATATAGTTGGGCACTCCTGTGTTTGATGCATACATATTTATGAGTGTTACCTCTTCCTCTTGAAATTTTCCCCTAACCAGTATATAGTGGCCTTCTTTATTTCGCTTAATCATTGTTGGTTTGAAGTTGAGACTGTCTGAGAATAGGATTGGTATCCCTGCTTTCTTCTGAATTGCTGGGGCATGTAATATTGTTTTCCATCCTTTGACTTTCAGCCTATGAATGTTTTTATGAGTAAAATGTGTTTCTTGTATACAGTATATTGTTGAATTTTGTTTCCTAATCCACTGTGCCAGTCTGTTTCTCTTAATTTGTGAAGTGAGTCCATTTACATTGATGGTTCGAATTGAGATATATTGACTTACTATTGACATGTTATTTACCTTTTGTCGTTTACTCCTTTTTCTCCTGTGTTTAATTGCTTGCCCTATTTAGTTGGTTGCTTCTGATCTCATTTGTGGAGTTCTGATCATTTTGATCCCTCTCTAGAACATCTTTCAGGAGCCTGTGTAGGGTTGGCTTTGTTATCATGAAATTCTTTAGTTGTTCTTTGTCATTAAAGTATTTCACTTCTCCATCAAACTTGAAAGAGAGTTTTGCAGGGTATAGTAATCTGGGCTTGAATTTGTTTTCATAGAGGACTTGAAGTACTCTGCTCCATGCTGTTCTTGCTTTCATGGTTTGTGAAGAGAAGTCGGCGGTAATTCTGATGGGTTTTCCTTTGAATGTTATCTGCTTATTTTCTCTAGTGTCTTTCAGTATATTATTTTTGTGCTGAATTTCTGGGATCTTGCCTATTATATGTCTCGGTGTGTTTTTAATTGGGTTGAGGTTACTTGGCGTTCTGTATGCTTCGGTTACCTGAATGTCAGATTGTTTCCTCATATTTGGGAAGTTTTCTGCTATTACTTCTGCCCATATTTTTAATGTGATTTGTATTGACTCCTTCTTTCTCACTGATGCCTATCAGTTTCCATTGTTCATCCTTGCATCATCTTGCAAGTGATGAATTATTTTTTCCTGCATCCTAGTTCTTTTTAAGAGATCCTTTCTTACCTTTTCACTAGCTGCACCAGCATGTTCAAAATCTGAAA